ATATATATATATAATACATAGAAATTCTTCTGTAAGATAATCCTTACTTATTCACATGACTGACTTTAATAACCAACTAGGAAACTTCGTACCATCTACCTAGTTCCTGTTCACAGATCTCTTTAATAATACCAAAAAGAAAAATAACAAAAATAAAAAGGAAGAAGGAAAATATTTAAAAAAAAACTTCAAACAAAAATAAATATAAATATATATATATACAAGATTATTATTTATTGTTCATTTTCCATTGAATAATTCTAATTCACATTGATCAATTTTAATTTATAATTATCTTCATCTGTACTTTAAGGATAAAAAAGAAAAAAGAGTAATAAATTGTATCCAACGATTTAAAATCATCGTAATTTAAAAATTAACTCGAAAATATATCGTTAAAAAGTACAATCGTTCTTAGAATATTACGAGTAAATCGTATAATCTCGTAAGATTTTATCAAGCGTGTATCAACACACACGCCTTAACATAGCAATTTCCCACCAACTTTTCCTTCATAGTGAACGAAGTCTGATGAGGTCTTTCCTGCTGCTTGCTTTGCCCTAATAACCGAAGAATTTACAATAATATATCGTGTTTTTTTCTTCTTTTTTTCACATTTTCAATCCAAAGAGGATCACGCCAACCCGTTCCCCTTTATTTCATTTACAAAATTAAATTCGAAAACAAAATTAATTTCTCTTATTTCTTTCATTTTTCTTTTTACATACGACACCACCTTGACCAAATAATAAAACAAATACATGTTAACAAATCAATAGGTAATTCGAATAAAATATAATACGTAATTATTTTCAGGCAAGGTTAATTCGTTATTTGGCGTTTGTGAATCATTGATGCCATTGGTTTACGGGCCCATGTACAGTTCTATTTATGCAACGACCATGAACACATTTCCGGGAGCGTTTTTCATAGTCGGTGGTTGCATGACTATACCAGCTGTTTTCGGTTTCTTGTAAGTTTTTATTTTATTATTATTATCTTTTTCTGTTTCTTTTTTGGTTACTTTTTTCTACTTCAATCATTCTTTCATCATCAATTTCTCTTTTTTTTCTATTTTTTTTTTTTATATTAATTTGATAAATAAAACTTTAAAAAATATTATATTATGAGAGTATATTATATATATTGTTATATATTATATATATATATATATAACAGTATATATA